AAAGATGGAAAAGGAGAGAATGCAGGAGAAGAGAAAGAGGCATGTAGAAAGAGAGAAAAGGACGAGATCTATGAGAGAGATGATCGTCTACGAGCACGAGGAGTGTAAATAATACTAAGGCTGATTGTGGGCGTGGCTGACAGAACTCTAAAAACCTTCGACTATATATCAAAGGGTTTACTGCCCTTGGATGATTCTCTCTCATAGCGAAGAAGAGACGTTGGAAGAACAAATACTGGACTGCGTGCAAGAGGAGTGGGAAGAAACAAAAGTATCTCTAGCGGTATACGAAGATATAGAAGGGAGACGGAGATTGAAGGAAGAGGAAGGACTCTGAGGATGCGGCACGAGGATTCGGTGTAATCTCGAAAAGGAAAGTCCTACCGTTTCTTTCATACGTTATTACCATTACTAGTGCACCGCGAACAAGATTGGTTGCTCTCTCTTCTTCCTCGTAACCTTCTCTGTATAAGCTTCTATTTATCGACTGTAAGATGCTTATGTCTCAACACTCTCGCGACGTTTTCCACGACATGGAAGAACTGTAAGAAATAGCGGGAAATATTTTTTATACATACAACGCTACATTATGCAGACAGGCATTGATTAAAATCAGTATTATTAACTTAACGTAACAAGTATTATATGAATATTATTTGTGAGTTATTCAAGTTATAATTGTCTGCGGCTAATAAGACATAGATTTGTTTGCTCGTCAGTCGCGGGATACCTGTGCATCTCAACATGTTCCGTGTTGTCCGATCGATCGATTAAGAAGGATGGTGAAGAAGGAAAACGAGGAAAGAGGAATACGGTAAAGCGGAGGAGGAGCAAGGAGGTGTGGATACCTATGGCATCCACTCTCTCCTCCGTTCTTTCCAGACTCAACAAACGTTAGAAGCTACCTCGATGGCTGCCTGCCTGCCTACTTACTGGCCTGAGATGTTCGCCTGGTAAGCTGGCTGGCTGACTGGCTGGCTGGCTGTCTGACTGGTTGCTTGCTTCAGCTCTCGATTACTTGAAAAACCGGATTCCTTCTGCGCGAAACTGTGTTTCCCGTCTTCTGTTTATGTACTAACACACGCTCGGAGAACAATATTGGTTATTTCGTTGCATGTGTATATGCCACGGCAATTGCGCGTCTCTCCGTTACGCTTCATTTTATCTTCAATCGGCCCAGATTCTTGCGTTTAGATAAACGCGATCACTGACGCACTGTCTCAATAGAGAAATCGAGAGTCGAGGTTTGTGATTCGACGATCGGAATTCGAAACGGACGCGGAAGAGAGCAACGGTACTCGATGAGTCGCGATGTCATCGGCCGTAGCCGGAGGGTCGGTGTTCGAGGGTTAAATCCAAGGGTTTCGAGGGAGTCGGTGTCAAGGGTAAACGTATACGTGCCTAAGCACAAACACGCCCTTACAAGTATATAAGCGTGCTTATGATGGAGCAGGATGAGCGGGGGCTTCGTCGTTTGGTAAGAACAATGGTGACGGGATCGCGGGTACATCGAGGATATTAGAGAGGAGAAAGCGAGCACAAAGAGCATATCTTCCGAATAATTTCACATGGCCCTCTGTTCGCCGGTAGTTGGTCGACCGAAAGAAGCGTATGGTCCTTTACCTCGACGAAAAGAACCGCAACGGTGCGGCGAGTCGAAATCCCGCGACGCGCAAGCCTCGGGGGAAAATATTTTCGAAGATCAAACACGAAACTAGCTGCACTGAAATAGTTTTTATTGTTATAAAATTTATGCAAATTTAATTTCCGCTCGATAAATTTATATCGGATGAAGAGTAAATTGTGTCTTAATATTAATATACATACATTGATCTTTTTCTTTATGTATATGTATATATATGTTAAATTTTTTGAAATTTTATGAAATATAATACATCTTTGAATTACAGGGGTATCATAATGTTGTAGTTTATCACTTACTAAGAGAAGAAATCGATTTTGTGATACTTAATAAATTCCATTTGTTGTACATACGTGTGTAGTTTAGCCTTCATTCATTCGACCGTCGTGGCGGCGGCGAGTCGTAGGACGAAGGAAGAGACGTGACGAGACCGACGAGAGATACCGGACACTCATTTAGCCTGGCAATTTATTCTCGCGTTTTGTAATTAACACCAGGAAAGAAGTAGCAGAAGTTATTCTTCTCCTACGGGCACGGGACGGCGTGGCACGGGTGGAAGCGACTACTCCGGTCAGTCTGCCTCCTCCCCCTCCGTCATTTCACTTCGACTCGCTCCACCTTCGACTCTTCCTCACGTGAAGAAAACGTACATATCACTATTAAGCGTCAGGATGGTTGAGGCCCGGAACCTCCTGGACCAACTTGAGAATAAGAAACACGCACGCACACGCACACGTACACGTACACGTACACACACACGCATACAGAAGAAGAAGAAGAAGAAGAAAATGGAGAAGAATGGCGAAAGGGGGAAACGCAGATGAAGGGGGAGAGGAACGGAAAAGAGACGGAGAAGAATGGAGAAAAGGAAATAGGGGTAAGAGGTAAGAGATGAGGCGACGGCGGGGCGAGAGCGAAGGAGAACGGAGGAGGATGATGGAGGCCTCTCCTCTGCATGCCACCGCAGTCAGCCTCAGACAGAAAGCGGTCTGTATAATTATGGGTTGTCACCTCATCAGCTCCGGGAGGGGAAGGGCCAGGGGAGGTGGCGGGGAGCGTTCATCGTCTGCGCGGAGGCAGGAGGCAGGAGGTTATAGGAGTGCAGTCTTTAGCTCAAATTGTGTTTTATCGTCTTTCGCATTTGGCTTTAGGGTCCCAGCGACCGGAGGGTGATTGAGCCGCTCGGAATGGCCTCCTTCTTTTGGGCCTTTGCCCGATGTCTTCTCGAAAGATGTCCGTTCTTACCAGACGCGACGATTCTCAGGTATAATTGTGCGTCGCATGTCCACTCTCTTGCTCGAGTATTCGTTTATTATGAATGAAGCGTTGAACGTAGACGATGGATATTTGACATTTAAAAAAGTGAAGGACGCGCACGCATCGTTCTTATCTTTCTCCGAGGGAGACGAGCGATGTGCGTAGCGTCACGCGTCAAGGACCTCGAAACATCTTCATCGATCGTGAAATGCCGACGCTGCGTGCATTGTGGTTGGTAAATACGTATTGTCGGGGCTGTAAAAATCGCGAAACGTGCTTTTTAGGTATCTACAATATAACGTGTCTTCTTTCTTGCTTTTGTATCCGTTTCTCGGTCTCACCCTTCCTTCCTTTCGCGCATATACGTGCCAGTCTGTGCGAAGGCACATATACAAAAAGGGGCGCTGCGCGAGAAGGTACTGAGGCTAAGTGGCGAGTTTAGAGGGATTTCATTAAATCATATGGATTGGGGATAATGTATGTTATTGAGCGGAGCGTTCAAATCGCGCTCTATAAGTTGTAATAAGTCCAATTTTAGGGCCGGTCATGGGCCGGGTCCCGCAGTGGTTGTCGAACGATTCGGTCGCCCGCTGGCCGTTGGCTGCCAATTGGCTCGCGGCCAGCACGGAATGACAGTCACTGGGACCGACGAACCCGCCACTTACTCGTCAAACGGCCAGCCGGTCCGCCGAAATCACTGCCATTTAGATAATTTGTAATGAATAGGCACCGCTGATTCCATACCCCTACTGCTTCTCCCTCTTCTCCTTCTTCTCTCTCGCGCTCAGTCTGGGCTCCAAAAGTACACGCCGGTCAGGTTGGCAATGACAACAGTATAGTTTATCCAATATTTCATAGGTCGGCGTGGATGACGGTTCTAAGAAAGACATAATAAATCGCGATAGAGAGCTCTCTGAAACCGTCGAGTTTATCCTAGACCACTTAAGAAAGAATTCGAGATTTCATCCTCACCTAAGCGGGAAGGGGTTGACCTCGATATGTTTCAAATAGATGTGTGTATTCGCTCATAGGATACTCTGTGGGTAGGGGTATAACGTGATTAAACGTGATTGTTAGATGCCAAAGTAAATCTATGTTAATCGAATATATAGGATTGCATATAGACACCGAATTACATTTTAGGAGAAAACATATCAATGCTAATACTGCGTGTCAGTATAACAAATAGCGAGACATGGTGCGCGACGTCTTGTCGTTCTTCTCGCGAGTTTTCCCCGCGACGGGAGACACGTGCCGAAGGTACGTGGCATCGATCAAAAAACGTGACTGCGCATATATTATCGCTCCGTGTTGCCGACTAACGAGAGAAAGAGAGAAGAAGGGAAA